TGAGGTGAGAGGACGCGGGCGGAGGGGATGGAGACGGAGGGGCTGATGTGACGTTTAAAGTGAGAATGCATCATCCTTACAACCCTAATGCTCTTTAGAAAGATGTGACAAAGGCTTTCTGTCACGCTCGCTTAACGACGGGCTTTTTATTCCAAATACAGCGGAGGGACTCCAGCCACATACTAGGAAAACTACATTAGTTAATTTTTATATTTAAAAAAATAAAAAAAAAGGGACAAATTAGAAAAACTAGACTTTGTACAGTAGGACTTATGAACATCTCTTTTTCAAGTTAAGAAACGCCTCAACAGGAAAATATTGAAATTCCCAATTTATAGCAAAATGAAAGTTCTCTGAAGGCCTCTGTCATTGGTTGAAATTAATCTTATTTATCAAATGTACGAGTGGTATCAGTATCAGTAAGTAGGAAGAGTAATCATCCTGGTATTAGTCTGAAAAAAAATGGTCTTGAACATTCCTCTTCAGCGCACCGCATTTTATTTTTCAAAAAAAAAGTAATATACGCTTCACAGAGAATCTCTACTGTGAGCTGGCGGCCATTTTTCTCTGCACTCTGGCTGATTTCTTGTTTATGCTCTCATAAATGATGAGCAGCGGCTCCTGGTTGCGTGTAAATCTCGGCCTTTAATTTACAGCCGTTGGATTCGGTGGGCTATAGCCATCTTATTTCACACATTTATGACTTTCTCAACATGGAGGAGTCCTCTCGGGCCGGCTCGGCCGGTCAGGAGAGGACCGTTGGGATTTGGGCAAAGAGCCGTAACTTTTTGTACGCCTTCCAATAGGAGAAGCCTTCATTCGGTGCACCTTGTTAACACCTTCCGCGTATTTTACCCCTTTACCCTCCTCCCTTGAGGCCTGCAGGCTTGTGCTCTTTCTTTCTTCTTTTTTTTTTTTTTTTTTTTTAACAGCAGATGGTCTCAGCCTTTACAAGGGTGGGATAAAACTGCTCATCTCGAACCCATTTGATTCCCGCTTGGGTGCCCTCTGCCAAGGACAAGAAACGGCAAAGACGCTCAAGCCAGACATTGTAAAATGAACACCCCTCCTACCCCCTCCTCAGCCTACCTGAAAGGCGCTTTTAGAATGTGGAGTGTTACCTCGAAAAAGAACGATGCTCTCTCTCCGCCTCGCATGGATTCAATTTCAGTCTGATCATCATGCATGAAAACTGTGTTATCATTCCTATGTCTCATACAACCAAAACTAAGTGAAGTTACCGACCATTTCATGACACCTACCATAGACAGCCGTTTGAGCGATTATTCAATATCCGTGATATCCCGTTTAAGATTCATGCGCGAGCACATTCTTTATCCTCACGGGGAAGACAATTCTGCGCACTGGTAGAACGACTAGCGTGCACAACTGTGACTGACGAGCAACGTTTTTAATAATCAAGCACCACACACTCGTAGGACAGATTCATGTGACGAGTGAGCCCACTGTTAACCATTAACTGGTAACCGAGAAGGAGCCCATTCGATTCTGCAACCCTTATAAACACGGCGGGAAATGAGGGTTTGCCATTCTGCCAACAGGCACCTTTAACATCCACCCGACCTTTTGCATGATGCGCATGTAGAACGATTTGATCGATAGGCCCATAACTAATGAACAACTAACACCGAAGATGCTCCACCTTTTTATGTCAAACCATTACAAACATGTACAATGTTTTTGACAAAATACGGAATTAAGCCGGAAAGTTAACAAATATCAAGTATCTGCACCCAAACATATTAAATTTATATATATATTTTTTGAAAAAATGGACAAGTAGGTCTAACTGTTTACACTGCTTTATCAAATATAGATATTGTTTTGTCCCGTGTAGATATTTAACAGTTCCTCAAGGCTCCGTTCTCTAACCCCTTCTGTTCCGACCTCAAAATCAACTTTGCACACAAAATAATTGGTTTGGCAGATCAATACTGAATTGGACCAGCTTGATTTTTATCAAGAAATGTGGTGTAATAATATGGAAAGCGTCACAAGTGTGAGAATATCTTGACCAAATTGCATGCAGAGTTCATCAAGGCCATTCTTCAAGTCTCCATCTTCCTCTGTTCCAACTTTAACACTGAAAATATGTCAACTCAATTGAAAAGAACTGGTTTGCGCATGTTTGGACTCGTATGACGAATCGAGCACATGGAGATAATGCGCAAAATCAATGTGCCCGCTGGCTGAGTACAACACTTTCACAAGTAGAGCAAAGCAGACAGAATGACGGCTGGAAAAGCAGGAGGAGCTGCGGCTTATGTCATTTATTTGACTATATAGGCAGAATTTGGGAATCAAATTAATGAACAGTACGGAGCTCCCACATGGAGATGACAAATGATGGAATGAAGAGAGAGGAAAAGCGAGGCGGCAACGCGCATCAAAGCTCAACATGTCGAACCTTCTGGGGCGAATGTGTGTGTGTGTGTGTGTGTGTGTGTGTGTGTGTGTGTGTGTGTGTGTGTGTGTGGGTGGGGGGGTGTGTGTGTGTGTGTGTGTGTGTGGGGGGTGGGTCAGAGTCAGTCAAAGTGGGTTGTGGCGGCACCTTTCATCTTGCTAGCTGTTGCACCCACTCAACGCCTGTGGAAGGCCACCATTATGTGCGGAGTTTGATGCCGAGTATGAGGATGCTGGTTCTGTGTGTTTGAGCATGATGGGTGGATGAGGAGCAGGCGCCAACCCTAAAATGTTACGCAGGCTCCCGCGTCTTTCTGCCTTCTATTAAGCACGGCTGCTTCAAATGTGTGTCAGGTTCCTCAGGGGGGATGGGGGGGTGCCGTGACACTGACAGCCGGCAGGGGGTGGGCTAGCTGAGAAAGGGCAAACCGGCTGCTGAGTGACAGCAGTGGGATCTTGTACAAAGAAAAGATGGAATACTGCAGGGCCGTGGGCCACATACTGCCCGCTGTTTTTTTAGTGGTTTTGTTTTTTTTTTAAATATTCATATCCTGGATGGGTTATTTCCATACAATCGAATCAATAACAATAATAAAGACTTGTAAAAAAATAAATAAAACACAACTCTGATGTCTACCTTTTCGGTACTTATAGTGAAGGCAATTCCCTGCGAATAGAGGGGGTCCACCATATTTTGTTGATATCATACATATACATGCCCCTGTTCAAGTGTCAGGTGGCTAAATTTGCCCATCTCCCAGCGTATTGGCATTTGTCTCCCTCATTATCAACGTGAGAAGCAGAGATTCACCCTGAAATCCTGATCTTCCATGTAAAAGCTGTGCTGAGCACCAAGCCAAAGCACCGCAATTGCCGCCATCGACAGAGATCCGTTCATCACGACAGTAATTTCGGAACTTGATATCCACACACAAGCTGCATGAGACCTCTGTTGAAAAATGTACTTGACTCATACAATATATTCATCCGGGGCAGTAAATGGTTGGATTCCATTTCACGAATATCAACCACGTACGGCAGTGAATGAGTTAATCACAGCTGTGGGTCAAATACAAAATATTGTCACGAAAGAAAACATTTCGACCTGGTAAAGTCTAGTGGGTGAGTTGCCACCACGTAACAGCACCGAGCCACCAAGTTGTGTTTGTCAAACTGAGTGATTCTGCAGTTTTCTCTGTAAAAACCCAAAACAGCTTACTCACCTGTTCTCACTTTTTCTCCCCACAGGAAACCGCGTTAAAAGTCACAAGACGCCCACCACCTTCTCTCCCTTTTTCTTGCATAACAAGAAAACGGCAGGCAATGTTGCGCGCGTCAACAACATCATCATTGCCTTTGAGCGCCGCCACCATGCCGTCTATTCAGGTCAACCTTCATAAAGAATTTAGTCAGTGGTGAATCTTTGAAAACTTTGCAGACAAAATTACCCCCCCCCCCACACCGCTTCCCCTGTGAGCCCACCTCCAACAGATGTTTTGTTGGTGTCATCATGTAAAATGTTACAGACTTGCTAATGCGTACCCATTTTTGGCAGTTTTTTTTTTCTTTTTGTCTTTTGATTATTCTGTGTTGCTTTTTCTTTATATGAAAAGAAACGACTACGTCACAAAAGAAGGCCGGGACGGTAACACTCTCGTCTGTGTAGCAGAGGATGTTTAGCAGGAGCTTCCCGCTGTGAAATAAATTGAGAAAAGAAAATAAAACGAAAAGACCGGGACAGGATTTTAATACGTCTATTGTGCGGCGCCGAGAATAAACTCAACGTGACGGCGAAAACAGATCGATACCGATCGCGTCAAGACACAATGACAAGACAAAGCAAAAGAAAGGACGCGTCTTGTACAAACGGGAGTCGCAATTACAGCACCGAGACTGAACATGTAAACAAGCGAGAACGGCGGACTGACCGTAGACCAGCAGGGTGTAGTGATCGGCGGCTCGCCCGTAGTTGTTTTGCGCCTGACACAAGTAAGTGCCGTTGTGGGACTGGCTCAGGCGGGAAATCTGGAAGGTGGGCCCGGAGATCTCGGCACGCTCAGGTAGGGTGTCGTTGATCTTGGACCACTGGATGGCACGGGGCCTGCGAGGTAAAAGCGACAAGTTACAAACAAAAAAATAAATAAATCAATGAATGAGCTGAATGTAGATGCTGCAGAAAATTGTGATTGATCAATTATTTGTAAAACTGCATTTTTGCTTGGTTGAAGAGCAATTAGGAATCCACAATGGAAAAAAAAAAGAAACGACTACGTCACAAAAGAAGGCCGGGACGGTAACACTCTCGTCTGTGTAGCAGAGGATGTTTAGCAGGAGCTTCCCGCTGTGAAACAAATTGAGAAAAGAAAATAAAACGAAAAGACCGGGACAGGATTTTAATACGTCTATTGTGCTGCGCCGAGAATAAACTCAACGCGACGGCGAAAACAGATCGATACCGATCGCATCAAAACACAATGACAAGACAAAGCAAAAGAAAGGACGCGTCTTGTACAAACGGGAGTCGCAATTACAGCACCGAGACTGAACATGTAAACAAGCGAGAACGGCGGACTGACCGTAGACCAGCAGGGTGTAGTGATCGGCGGCTCGCCCGTAGTTGTTTTGCGCCTGACACAAGTAAGTGCCGTTGTGGGACTGGCTCAGGCGGGAAATCTGGAAGGTGGGCCCGGAGATCTCGGCACGCTCAGGTAAGGTGTCGTTGATCTTGGACCACTGGATGGCACGGGGCCTGCGAGGTAAAAGCGACAAGTTACAAACAAAAAAATAAATAAATCAATGAATGAGCTGAATGTAGATGCTGCAGAAAATTGTGATTGATCAATTATTTGTAAAACTGCATTTTTGCTTGGTTGAAGAGCAATTAGGAATCCACAATGGAAAAAAAAACCATTCCACTTAATTATTTTTTTTTAAATTACCATTGCTCACAGCGGCAAACTATTTTCATATCTAAAAACATTTTGGGTACGGCAATTTCAGAGATAAATATGAATTTTAGTTTAAACTTAGCATTCCTTGTATCACAACCAGAAGGCATCGATTTAAAAACAAACAAAAAAACATGAACGGCCTTTGTGCCACATCACTTCAGCAGCTAGCATTTTAGCATGCGACAAAGTCATACGTTGGCAATTCAAAGGCGCATTACTACCACCGAGTGACGTTGACCTTCCGCTGCAAGGGATGCTGGGAAATTCATGGTGGCCAGATGGAGTCAAGTGAAAACAACTAGTAGTAACTGTTATGGTCACAGATCGCAAACGCTCATGTCCACAAAAAAAATTAAAATAAAAATCATAATAATAATAATAATGTCTTCATTATTGACACCTAAACTCTCACTCCGATCAACGAGATCCCAACTCACTATCACAGATGATCAGACGTGATGTGATGTTCACACAGAAGTTGGCTGGGTTCTGTGTGGCGGATAAAAGTCTTCCGTTACGGCTCGGACGCGTCAAATTCACGGGCCAGAGATAGACACGGGGACGCACAAATAGATCTAAACACACACACACAGGAGGTGGGAGGATTACAGCGTCACCCTGCTGAGCAGAGCCGTGCCTGGCTGTGTGTCATGGCTTGTGGTTGCATGCGCAGAATCATCCAAAGCTCCAATCCCTCGCAAAGTTTAATTAAACTTTTTGCGATTTAGCCATGCACACACACGCGTGCGCGCACACACACGCACGCACACACACACACACACACACGTGGAAAAAAAAACAACAAAAAACTTTGGGGTTTAACCACGACACTCCAGTTGAGCCACATACGACAAGTCGGGTCACCAAAAGAGACACACACACACACACACACACACACACACACACACACACACACACACACACACACACAC